CCGCCCCCCCCACCCCCCCCCCGGGGGGTCGAGCCCCCGGCGCTGCCTCCCCACGGACATCGGCTCTCGGCAGCGGTGACGGCCTGACCGGGGATTCGGCGTTCCCGGCTCATGTGCTGTTCCACCTCACAGGGTTCTGGCACCGCAGCCAAACAGCACATCCTTCCTCGTGCCCTTTTTTTTCCTCTCCTTAACCCAATGTCAGTGGGCCGGCATGAGTGGACTCCTACAGATAATTTAAGTATCCGGCTCCTAGCTGTGTTGTTTTGTCCAATTTCTATTGCGTTCTGACCTACATCATTCTTTATTTGCAAAGCTATACTTGCAGGCAGCAGTAATAAATCAATTAATGACTCTGATGAATCGTTTAATGGCTGACAAAATAACACTACAGTCAACAGCTTGGATCTCTACAGCAGTACCAGAAGACGCTGGTTGACTCAGGGTAGGGAGACGAAACAGAGACTGTTAGCTCAATTAGTGCAATTAGTGTGCGATTTAAAGGCTTAGACGGCATCTGCTGGCATACCAAGTTGGTGTGTTAACTGAGTGTCTAGGTTTGGAAGCGAAATGCAGTGATCCAGATTGTCATAATGCTACTTGCTTCCACTAAAAAAAGGCAAAAAAAAAAATCCAACGTATGTGGCAAAGCTATATATATTTCCCACACATACACATATGTATATATATGTATATGCCCCAAGAATGGTGTTTTGTTTCCAGCACAGAACGAATTTACCATCTAATAAAATGCAAATGCGCATGCACGCTGGCTGTGCAATAGCTGTCACGAAACTAGCCCCCTGTAAGGAGGAGAATTATCTAATTCCCACTCAAGTTGAATACCGCTAATAAACCCAGCCCCGGAGCGCGGGGTGATTTGAACAATCCCAGGAATCGTGGAATGATTTTAGGATCTGGATCCATGACCTTTTCTCTTATTCATCAAGGTAGCGTTTCTGGGAATGGCTCGATGTGCTGTCAGCTGGCATGGGCTCTGTTGCCGCTGGAGCGGGGATGAATTTTGCATGGCCGGAGCCTTATTTAGCTAAATAAGCAGATGACGTCCCCTTCCCGCCCCGTTCCCGTCCCGCTCCCGTGGCAGGCACTGGGTACCTGGGCGCTGGAGCCTTCCCAGCCTCGGGATGTCCCAGCTCCGCTCTCACGTTCCCCAGGTTTCGGCTCCACCAATGGGTACAAATAAGTTACCATGGCCAGCGAGGGCTTACCACCCAGAAGGGACCGCCAGCGTACGCGTAGCAAGATGCGATCTGCCGAATGCTGCATTTTTATGGGGCTGGCGAAGCGCGTTTCACACAACCGGGCAAATAAACCCAGCGGGCGGTTATAGAGCGATAACGGAGCAGGGGCGCTGAAGGCTCCTGGTCGTGCGCTGGGCAAACACCGCCGGGTTCCCCGCTGTGCCTGGCGCCACCTCTGCCCCGCGAGTCCGTCCCGCGGCCCATGGGAGCAGCAGGGAGAAGGGCGAGGAGGCGCCTTCCCAGAGCTGCTTTCATATCCCAAAACACCGCCGAGCCATCGGAGCCGGGCTTGACAAATCACGTCTGGTGGCAGAATCTATCCCTGCATCCTGAGACCCCCTTTTTGGGGGGTTTCTGCACCAGGAGCCCGGCCCATTCCTTGCTACCGCATGTGCCCGCATTTCGCCTGCTCTCCACGGGAGCCTTCCCTGGAGCACTCGGCACCAGCAGCTCTCCTGGCACGTCCTTGTCCTCCAAGTGGAAGCCTCTCTGCTCAGGTGCTCTCCGCTTTCCCCACAACGCCTGCAAGCCACCGGCGAGCTCGGAAAAGTTCATGGCAACGTCGGTGTCAAGCCGGCGGGTGCAGCCGGCAGAGGCAGAGAGCCCTGTTTTTCTGGGAACTCAGTGCTGGAAAGGCCACTGGTTTGGGGCAAAGGCCCGAACTGCGGCGAAGGCTCCTTGTGTTGGGAACCGTCCTCTTCCTCGTACACCTTGGTAGAAGACAGTGCCACAATGGAGGAGCCTGAGCCTGGCCGAGCGGCTCCCGGCCCTCGCGCAGGGCTCGGTGCGTTCGCCTTAGCGGTGGCGATGGGGAGGGGAACGAAACGAAATATAAAATGGCATTTTGCAGCCTCGTAAATCATTCATCGAGGACTGACCAGTTTGGCTCCCATCCTGCTGTACACTGAGGGCACTCACGGGTTTTTAATTATTGAATTCTGCCAAGCGCCACATGTGCAAGGAGCTGGAGCTCTGCGTTTGCGCTGCACGCGCGTAGGTGAAGCCAGGGGTGTTTATCGTGGAAAAATATTCTGTGGTTTTGTGGAAAAATGTGCATTTGCTTAAAGATTTTCTTTGGCTGCCTTGCTCTCTCCTTCCTCCGCTTCCTATTGCCGAGGGAAGGTGGTGTGCAGCGTGCTCTGGTTCAATGCGAGGGCTTAAAAGCTGTATCCGTTTACCAGACCGAGTCTTTTTGCACCCAAAGTGGAGTGAGGTGGCTCATTTACCTTTTGGCTGCAGCACGGGGGAGTTTTGCTGCTGTGAGTGCTGAACTCATCGTGCCAGTGTTGGTCTAAAATCTGTGTTACCTTCCTTGCAGAGGGTCAAATCCACATTTCCATCACCTTCACTAACCATGGAGCAGCTCTCCTGCGTTGTATTCGGGCCCTGGAATACCCAGATATGCGAGTGGCTTCATTCCAAGCTGGTTTGGGATCTGTTTCGCTTTGGGAGATTCCCCAGCAAGGGATTATGGTGTGCTGGAAATCTCTTGAAACCATAAAATATCACCTTGGCAGCTTTATTGCAGCGCTTGCCTTCTTTGGAGGGAAGCATTTTGCGTGATAGAGGGTTTAATAAAGGAAATTCTAAATGGACTTGCTGCAGTTTGGGGCTTGGTCTTATATATTTTTGCATTAAGAACATTCATCTGCTTTGCAGAGAAGCTGCAATATGTTCATGGCCTTGGATTAAGATTTGGTTTTACTTTTATAGCTGACCCACTTGGGGGGATGGAGGGAGGGGGAGAACTAGGTTCACTCCCCCTTCTTTCTATTTTTGCTGCTGTCTGATAAAAAGAGCCTGGAATGGGTAGGCTTTTTTTTTTTTTTTGCTGCCAGGACTTTTTTTTTTTAATTGTTATTAGTATTAACTGTAGAAACTCTCAGATCTGGTCCTTGCTGTTTATCTGGAGGACTCTGCTTCTGATGCCTCCTCCTCGCAGCAGGTCGGGAAAGCCGCAGCAAGCCGAGCTCCTTCCCGAGGAGCGGGGAGCTTAGGGACACGCTGACTGACACGGGAGCCCTTGGCACCCCGTTTGCACCCAGCCGGAGCTCAGGCTGCCCCGCGTGAGAAACACCCTCCGTTGAGCTTCTTGCATTAAGGGTTTGTCCTCCAGCCCTTTCGGGAGGACTCGCCTGGGCCAGGGCCTCTGTCACTCGCAGGTCAGAGATGACAGGGGGCAATTCCCATGGTCCCATTGCTCTGTCCTGGATGTCCCACACGGCTACTCTCCCTGCCAAACAGCCTAGCGGGGACGATGCCCCGTGTGACCGCGAGGAAGGCGCGTGACAGCAGGTAGCGTGACGGAGACCTCAGCTTGTCACGCTTTTGGGGCCAGAAGAGCAGGATTCCCCACCAGGTTTGGGGATCCCTCTCCGGAGCCGCTTTTGCACCGGCAGGATCACTGTTGTGCCCCGGCGCGGGTTGCAGAGAGCAGGTAAATATTAACACAGTTGCTAGGTAGGCGCCCGCGCCAGGTCCCGGCAATCTGCATCCGCCGCCTTCCCGGCTCCCGGGGCACGGAGCGACGCGGCCCGCGC